ACTTTCCAAGTGTGTATATTGAACAATTCCGAAGAAAACCAAAAAAAAATGCAATTAAATTTTAATTAGTAATTCAAAAAAAAAAATTAATTGAATCTGACTTTGATGAATTAAATAATGAAAATGATTAAGAAAATTTGAAATATTATCCTTTTTGAGTGAAAATAATAATTTTCAATTAAAGAAGAAAAAAAAATGAACTTTTCAGTGGAAATAATGTGAAAAAAAATTGATATCGATTTTCTTTTTTTTTTTAATGCATAAAATACATATATACGAGTTGGCAAATAAATTGCCTTTCTGGTTTATGGATATGAAACTAGCGCTATGACTTTCTTTCGAATAACAGCTCGTTGCGTCCAAAGTCATTTCTTTTATTGTCACTAAAGCATAAAAGTATAGTTGTGAAATAGCTTTTGCGAGGGAGATTTGCTACAGAAACTATTATTATTAAAAGGGGAAACTGTAAAATTTAACCCCAAACGTTTTTGGTATATATAGTTGAAACTGAAAATCAGGCATTTAGAGGAATATCGTAAAGAGCACTAAAAGCTAAGCACACGGATAAGAGAGAACAAACTTATTTAATTAACACCATCCTATGAGAAAGGGAGAGAGAGAGAGAGAGTGAGTATGCTACGCGTGCAAAGGTAAACACTCCAAAATTGCCTGCTATCTATGCTACATAGCTCTAACATTCAGACGTAATTACAAGTGTCTTGAATTTCACATAACTACCCGCGTGGAAATGGAAGTATGGGCAAAAGATGGCAAAGTATGGCCAACTATGGGTTAAACATGGCCAAAAGCTGACAAAGTATGGCAACAGTATGGCAAAAGTATTGCTAATGAGCGAATCCCATAGTTAAAGTATGGCTTCAAAAAAAACCATTTTTTTCAATTCTCTAACTATGGGCGAACTATGGGCAAAGTATGGCGAAGTATGGGAGGCAAAAAAAATCATTTTTTTCAAATTCTTCAAATATGGGCGAACTATGGGCCAAGTATGGCGAAGTATTGGAGGCAAAAAAAATCATTTTTTTCAAATTCTTCAAATATGGGCGAACTATGGGCAAAGTTTGGCGAAGTATGGGAGGCAAAAAAAACACGTTTTTTTAAATTTTTGAACTATGGGCGAACTATGGGCCAAGTATGGCGAAGTATGGGAGGCAAGAAAAATCATTTTTTTTAAATTCTTCAAATATGGGCGAACTGTGGGCAAAGTATGGCGAAGTATGGGAGGCAAAAAAAATCTGTTTTTTTAAATTCTTCAAATATGGGCGAACTATGGGCAAAGTATGGCGAAGTATGGGAAGCGAAAAAACACTTTTTTTTAAATTTTTGAACTATGGGCAAACTATGGGCCAAGTATGGCGAAGAATGGGAGGCAAAAAAAATCATTTTTTTCAAATTCTTCAAATGTGGGCGAACTGTGGGCAAAGAATGGCGAAGTATGGGAGGCGAAAAAAACACTTTTTTTTAAATTTTTGAACTATGGGCGAACTATGGGCCAAGTATGGCGAAGTATGGGAGGCGAAAAAAACACTTTTTTTTAAATTTTTGAACTATGGGCGAACTATGGGCCAAGTATGGCGAAGTATGGGAGGCAAGAAAAATCATTTTTTTCAAATTCTTCAAATATGGGCGAACTGTGGGCAAAGTATGGCGAAGTATGGGAGGGGAAAAAAACACTTTTTTTTTAAATTTTTGAACTATGGGCGAACTATGGGCCAAGTATGGCGAAGAATGGGAGGCAAAAAAAATCATTTTTTTCAAATTTTTGAACTATGGGCGAACTATGGGCCAAGTATGGCGAAGTATGGGAGGCAAAAAAAATCATTTTTTTCAAATTCTTCAAATATGGGCGAACTATGGGCAAAGTATGGCGAAGTATGGGAGGCGAAAAAAAACACTTTTTTTTAAATTTTTGAACTATGGGCGAACTATGGGCCAAGTATGGCGAAGTATGGGAGGAAAAAAAATCAATTTTTTGCCTTCCATAGTTCGCCATACTTGGCCCACAGTTCGCCCATATTTGAAGAATTTGAAAAAAATGATTTTTTTTGCCTTCCATACTTCGCCATTCTTGGCCCATAGTTCGCCCATAGTTCAAAAATTTAAAAAAAAGTGTTTTTTTTCGCCTCCCATACTTCGCCATACTTTGCCCATAGTTCGCCCATATTTGAAGAATTTGAAAAAAATTGTTTTTTTTTGCCTTCCATAGTTCGCCATACTTGGCCCATAGTTCGCCCATATTTGAAGAATTTGAAAAAAATGATTTTTTTTGCCTCCCATACTTCGCCATACTTGGCCCATAGTTCGCCCATATTTTAAGAATTTGAAAAAAATGATTTTTTTTGCCTCCCACACTTCGCCATACTTGGCCCATAGTTCGCCCATAGTTCAAAAATTTTTAAAAAAGTGTTTTTTTTGCCTCCCATACTTCGCCATACTTTGCCCACAGTTCGCCCATATTTGAAGAGTTTGAAAAAAATTATTTTTTTTGCCTCCCATACTTCGCCATACTTGGCCCATAGTTCGCCCATAGTTCAAAAATTTAAAAAAAAGTGTTTTTTTGCCTCCCATACTTCGCCATACTTGGCCCATAGTTCGCCCATATTTGAAGAATTTGAAAAAAATGATTTTTTTTGCCTCCCACACTTCGCCATACTTGGCCCATAGTTCGCCCATAGTTCAAAAATTTTTAAAAAAGTGTTTTTTTTGCCTCCCATACTTCGCCATACTTTGCCCACAGTTCGCCCATATTTGAAGAGTTTGAAAAAAATTATTTTTTTTGCCTCCCATACTTCGCCATACTTGGCCCATAGTTCAAAAATTTAAAAAAAAGTGTTTTTTTGCCTCCCATACTTCGCCATACTTGGCCCATAGTTCGCCCATAGTTCAAAAATTTAAAAAAAAGTGTTTTTTTCGCTTCCCATACTTCGCCATACTTTGCCCATAGTTCGCCCATATTTGAAGAATTTAAAAAAAAAGATTTTTTTTGCCTCCCATACTTCGCCATACTTTGCCCATAGTTCGCCCATATTTGAAGAATTTGAAAAAAATGATTTTTTTTGCCTCCAATACTTCGCCATACTTGGCCCATAGTTCGCCCATATTTGAAGAATTTGAAAAAAATGATTTTTTTTGCCTCCCATACTTTGCCATACTTTGCCCATAGTTCGCCCATAGTTAGAGAATTGAAAAAAATGGTTTTTTTTGAAGCCATACTTTAACTATGGGATTCGCTCATTAGCAATACTTTTGCCATACTGTTGCCATACTTTGTCAGCTTTTGGCCATGTTTAACCCATAGTTGGCCATACTTTGCCATCTTTTGCCCATACTTCCATTTCCACGCGGGTATACTCTCACCAGTTTGTTTTATATCATTAAAAACTTTACAAATCAAAATTACACTATTTTTCTTTACACAACAATATAATATTTTAATTCTATTTAAATTTCAATTTAAATAATAATAATAATAATAAAAATTATAATATATAATAATAACAATAATATAAATATAGAAAAATTATTTTTTTCCAATAAAATTTATAAACTCAGAGAAAAAGATATACTTGTCTGTAGAGCGAAATAAATATTTATTTGATCCAAATAAATTTTATTCGGTTTAAATAAATTTTTTTTTTTTGTTTCAAATAAATTGATTTTGTTTCAAATAAATTTTATTTGCGCTAAATACGATTTTTTTCTATGTGGTAAATTAAATTTTTTTATTTCAAATTGAAACAAAATAAAAAATTATTAAACTCACGAGACAAATTTTTATTTTTATTTGATTCCAAATTAATTTCTATTTGTCTCAAGAGAAAAGCAAATTAAAAAAAAATACCTCTCGGTGAAACAATAATAATAATTATTTTTTGTCTTAACAAAAATTAAAGAAGATTTTTATGCATAAGTAGAAATTCAATTAAAAGAACAATTCTGTTAAATTAAAATTCAATTTTAATTTTCAAATATATTTTTATAAATAAATAAATTAAAAATTAAATTAATTAAATTTTATAAATTTTTGTATTTAATAAATGCAAAAAAAAATTCTCTAACAACAATAATTTTATTTTTTCTCATCAAAATGGAACCAAAAAAAAAATATTTCTCTTCACGAAAATATTAAATTGAGACAATAAAAAATCTGATTTTAATAAAAAAAAAAAAACTATCCTTATATAAATCATTTGTGAGGAAAAATTCTGTTTGCTATTTGCACTGCTCGCGTCTTTTTTATTCTAGATAAAATCTTTGCAGAGTCTTAGAGTGTAAAAGGTATTTTCAATCGAATTTTACCTGATTTTATGAAAATTGGATTATTCAAATTCAACAGTTTTTTTTTTTATATAACATGCGAGAATTCTTTTGTGTGAAAGTTGAAATTTTTCTCTATATTCTCTGTTTGAAAATTGATAAAGAAATTTCGAAAAATTTCATTCAAATACAATTTTGATTAGAATGTTGTTTTTTTTTAAACTACCAACATTTAATAAAATAAGTTTCTGTTTTAAGAAAAAATATATATATATATATATATTTCGATCATCATTTGAAACGCGCTGCACTTGTAGACCTTTGCGGACCGATAAATAAAGTTTTAATTAAATTTCTTTAAAACTACATAATGGTCCAGAGAATCTTCACCGCAAATCTTGAACTATTATTTTCTTTTAAAACGACAAAAAGTAATTACTTCATGCCATTCTCCAAAGTTAAATAAATTAATTACCTTTTAAGAACTTAACTTTCTGTTCTTATATATAAAGTTTCAACTAAACGAAACTTTTTAATATGAGAATAATGAAGAAAATGGCATATATATATATATATATATATATATATATATATATATATATAAAAAAGAGATACTAAAATTTTTGTTTGCAAATTGTTTTAATTTTAATTGAAAAAAAAATTATTTTTATGATTTTTGTGGAGTATAGCAAAAAAAAAAAAAAAGATTAAAAAAAAAAACTCACCATGAACGTCTAATCTGATGTCAATTGTGAGTGGCTCAGCAAGAGTAAGACTACTGCTGACCTTGCAAGTAAGGTTAGCGCCTAATTCACTGCGTGTAACCTGCAGATTCAACAGGCTACTTCCGGTGCCGATTCCATTTTCTTCAACTTGCGACGTGCTTTCCGCTGCAATAAAAGTAAAAAATAATGTGGTTAGAAAATTGCCCGCTCAATATCAGACAAGAGGGAAGATCATAGATAATATTGATTAATGTCAAATTATCTTTGAAAAATTGCTTCACTTGTTTAAATGAACGAAAATTAAAAAAAAAAAAAATCCTATTTTTTCCCCTCCTTATAATTTTTCTTTCTACACACAAAAAACAAATACTGAAATCGTTAACATCTTAAAATCAAAATACCTGAAAACTAGCGTAATTTTTATCTTAAAACTAGATTAAGTCAATTTTAGGACTTAAAATCATAATTTTTATCTTAAAACTAGATTAAGTCAATTTTAGGACTTAAAATCATAATTTTTATCTTAAAACTAGATTAAGTTAATTTTAGGACTTAAAATCATACACTCAAGGCTGAAATTCAGTAAAAATTGTTCTAATGTTAACGGTTTTAGTCAAAATTAAACTGAAAGTAAGTATTATTTTTTAGTGTGTATAGATTATTATATTTACCATTTTTTTTTATTTTTTATGATTATTTGATCATTTTTAGATGAAAATAAAAATTTTTTTCCTCTCAATACTAAAATAACTGAACAATTTTAAGAATCAAATTAAAAAATATACTTTTCACATTTTTTCTTTCAATATAAAATAATTTTTTTACATTTATAAATATAAAACTACACAGAAAATTAAAAGGCATTAAAATAAGCTGCAACACTTATTATTTTAATCTAATTTTGCTTATTTTAATCCATTTTCGTATTAAAATAAGCAAAAATTGGATTAAAATAACTAGAGTTGCAGCTTATTTTAATACCTTATAATTTTCTGTGTATAAAACAGGGAATTTTTCCTCTACATTATTCTGTATATAAAAAAAAAGTAAATTAAAAAATTTAATATTAAAACTAATAAATAAGAAATTTAATTCAATTTACGAGACTTATTTTCCATTTTTTTTTTTCGGTACGAAAGTGTGAAAATCGAAATAATGAATTTTTAAAAGTCAATTTCATATGGAGGAAAAGAGAGTGAGAGGCTTTATATGGTCGATTGAAATATCGTGATGGTCACATTTGAAGCGAAATGAAAATTCAAAAATGAAAAGAAAAAAAAAAACTTACATTCAAGAAGCTTATCGCCGTTGTACCATTCGACGATTGGAACGGGACGACCTATACTACTCTCGCACCTCAAGGAAATCTTGGTACCATCGTTTATTGGTCCCAAGACTTTTCCTGTTTCGAGTGTAGCTTTTGTATCTTCGTCGATAACACGAACGAATACTGGCTGAACTGTAACAGAAAAATAGAAAAACAAAATTAGAAAAAATCTCATTTTTTTTTTTAAATTTAAAATAAAATAATTTTACATTTAGTATATTTTTATTAATTAATTTATTTCTACTTATTTTTATTTCATAAAAAAATATCTAAATTTTTTTATGAAAAATTATTTTATATTCTATGCGATAGGAAAAATAAATTGTAAAGTAAAAAAAAAAAAGAACAAAAGAAGATATTAAAATAATGGAAGGTAAAAATCAATGTAGGGGAATCGATAATAGGCTGCATGAAAAGAAAACAAGGAAGTAAAAAATTGAAGAGCGAAAATTGAAAAGTTCTGCAATCGAGCTTTCAAAAAAAAAAAAAACTGAAAAAAAGAGAAAGAAAAGAAAAAAAGCTTTCAAAACTCGACACGTGGACAAATGTAAAAATAAAATCAAAATGTTATCTGTTGAATCGAAAAAAAAAGAAATTTTATCGAAAAAAAATTTCAGTTGCGAGAAAAATTATTTATTGAATTTGAGCAGTGTTAGTTTTTACACATATTCTTGATTATAAAAAAATAATAAAATTTTTGCAAAACTAAAAAATATTTCCCTGTAATATTGCAAATTATAAATATATACTAATTTAATAAATTGTTTAAATTAATTTCAATTATTATTTAATTTTTTAATTAATAATAATTTATAAATTATCTAAACAAATTATATTTTTTGAAAAGAATGTTTGTCTAAATACGTCATTTGTATTTTTTATTTCGCATTCTATTTTTAATTTTGCCCAAGAGAAAAATAAATCTATTGTTTTTCTCAAGTCGAAAAAAATGATAAATTTTTGAAAAGAACGCCAAAAGCTTCGGGAAATATTTTATTTTCTCCATAGTGGAAAATAAAGTCTTATATATATATATATATGAATAAACTGTTTAATAAATTGTGCTCTCTTATTCTAAAGTTACTTCTTTTCATGAGGATATTCTTGTGAAAGAATGTGTATGTGTGTTACACGTGGTATGTTGCACCCTCAGGACTTTTGGGGGTCAATGTAGGTCAGGTCACTGAATATTAAATCTTAAGTCGTTGAATATTAAAAGGCAAGTCCAACTTAAGAGCGTCGTTACCTTCAGAGAAAATTTTTCCATTCAAAAATTTTTCCACTCCTTAAAACTTTATTTTAACATTTTTCTCTCTTGTGTCAAAAATGACATTTTTTTCAATTATTATTATTTTCATTATAAATTTCATCAATCAAAAAATTTTCTTATTTTTCAATAGAGCAATTTTCTTATTTTGTAACATAAAATTTCAATTACGAAAAAAATTTCAGAATTTTTTTTTTTGTTTAATTTATTAATATTTTGTAGGTGAGAAAATTTTTTTGTAAATTTTTTCATTGAGAGAAATATTTTTAATATTTTCATTGAGATAATGTATTATGTACGTTAATAGAAAAATCGTTTTTGTATAAAGTGTGTGACAAATGTTTTGATTTATATAACCGTATACTTTTCACCCCTCAAAAAAAAAAAAAAAAAAAGAGAGAGAGAGAGGCAGTTATTCGTGAGTATTACTTGGGGGTTCTACATCCTTTTTTATGTGTCATTTGATACATAAGAAATCGCTGAACCCATTCTACGGGCGTCTGTTTGACGATATTGGATTTTCGTATCCCCAGGGTAAAAACCTGACGATGACAACTTTCTTAATTTCATCCCTATCTTTCTCTCTCTCTCTCTTTCTCTCTTACTCTACTTCAACCATCTTTATTTTCTTTCAATGTTCCAATCTTTTTCACACACGAGATTTAATTCTTATTCAACGTTTTTCTGAATTGACTTTTTTTTTTTAAATCCATATCCAATTTTTCTTTTACTTCTAATAAATAAATAAATTTTATCGCCTAAATTAGAATAAAAAATTATATATAAAAAAAAGTCGCAAAAAATGTATTATAAGAGAAAAAAATGTTTTGTTTAAAAAAATATTTCTTTAAATTTAAAAAATACAATATAAAATTTAGAAAACAAAATGAAAAAAAAATTAATTAAAAACTTTCCAAAACTGAATTTATTTGAAAATTATCAAGAAGCACATTTTTCCGCATTGAAATTTCTAATTTGATGAGACGTACAGTTTTTTTTTTTGTAAATAATTTTGAATATAGTTTTCCCTTACGGGAACATTATTTTTTTCTTCTTTTGTTATTATATAATATATTATGGTACACATATTGTCAAGCAGAATTTAAATTGGAAATATTCTTTTATCAACTATATATATACATTGCGGTATTATATAGAAGAGTTTTGATCGCACAAGGCTCGTTACCTGGCATTTTCCTACTTCCAACATTTTATGTTCGTTCTTTCCGAAGTTATACAGGGGAAAATATTCCGCGAAGAAAAAAGTTTTTCATTGAGACAGTTATGTCGACATTTGATGTATTAGAGAGTTATATACCTTATATTATACAGATATTGTAATTTTACCAGTTAGTTGAAGTAAATTTTTAGGCAGATGTTCTTTAAATGTTTAATTTTTTCAGAAGTACAAGTAGATATTTTGTCAGACAAATCTAAACATTTTGTATTTTTTTTGCCATTCTCCCAATAGTACAAGTCAATATTTAGTCAGACTTTCATAATTATTTTTCTCGTAATTTTATTAGGAGAGCAAAGCGTTTTTAGTCAAGACAAAATTAGAAAATAAGTAGTAAAAGTCGTGTTTAGTCAGACATAATACTTTTTTGAAATTTATCAGTAGTAAAAATTCTGTTTAGTGAGACATAATAATTTTTGTAATTTTTACAATAGTAAATGTCAATTTTAGTCGAACGTAGTAAGTGAAATATTTTAAAAATAAGTAGTAAAAGTCAATATTTAGTCAGACTTTCGAAATTTTTATTCTCGTAATTTTATTAGCAGAGCAAAGCGTTTTTAGTCAGACAAAATTAGAAAATAAGTAGTAAAAGTCGTGTTTAGTCAGACATAATACTTTTTCGAAATGTATCAGTAGTAAAAATTCTGTTTAGTCAGGCATGGTGATTTTTGTAATTTTATTAGTAGTACAAAACAATATTTAATCAGACTCACTGAAACGTTTCTAATATTCTCAGTAGTATAAACAGATTGAGTCATACACAATAAAGAAATTAGAAAATCAGTAGTAAAAATAAATATTTAATCAGACTTTCTACATTTTTTGTAATATTATTAGTAGCAAATGATTTTAGTAATTTTATCAGTAGTAAAACTACCTGTTTAGTGAGACATAATAATTTTTTGTAATTTTTACAAATTAGTAAATGTCAAATTTTTGTCGAACGTAGTAAGTGAAATATATTTTAAAAATAAGTAGTAAAAGTCAATATTTAGTCAGACTTTCGAAATTTTTATTCTCGTAATTTTATTAGCAGAGCAAAGCGTTTTTAGTCAAGACAAAATTAGAAAATAATTAGTAAAAGTCGTGTTTAGTCAGACATAATACTTTTTCGAAATGTATCAGTAGTAAAAATTCTGTTTAGTCAGACATGGTGATTTTTGTAATTTTATTAGTAGTACAAGACAATATTTAATCAGACACACTGAAACGTTTCTAATATTCTCAGTAGTATAAACCGATTTAGTCAGCCACAATAAAGAAATTAGAAAATCAATAGTAAAAATAAATATTTAATCAGACTTTCTACATTTTTTGTAATATTATTAGTAGTAAAATGATTTTAGTAATTTTATCAGTAGTAAAACTCCTGTTTAGTGAGACATAATAATTTTTTGTAATTTTTACAAATTAGTAAATGTCAAATTTTTGTCGAACGTAGTAAGTGAAATATTTTAAAAATAAGTAGTAAAAGTCAATATTTAGTCAGACTTTCGAAATTTTTATTCTTGTAATTTTATTATCAGAGCAAAGCGTTTTTAGTCAGACAAAATTAAAAAAAATAAGTAGTAAAAGTCGTGTTTAGTCAGACATAATACTTTTTTGAAATGTATCAGTAGTAAAAATTCTGTTTAGTCAGGCATGGTGATTTTTGTAATTCTATTAGTAGTACAAGACAATATTTAATCAGACTCACTGAAACGTTTGTAATATTCTCAGTAGTATAAACCGATTGAGTCAGACACAATAAAGAAATTCGAAAATCAGTAGTAAAACTAAATATTTAATCAGACTTTCTACATTTTTTCTAATATTATTAGTAGTAAAATAATTTTAGTAATTTTATCAGTAGTAAAACTCCTGTTTAGTGAGACATAATAATTTTTTGTAATTTTTACAAATTAGTAAATGTCAAATTTTTGTCGAACGTAGTAAGTGAAATATTTTTAAAATAAGTAGTAAACGTAAATATTTAGTCAGACTTTTTTAATTTCGTTAGTAGTAAAAGTAAATGTTAAGTCAGACCGCCTAAACGTTTGCAATTTTTTCAGTAGTATCGATCAATATTTAGTTCAATTTCCAGTATTTTAGTAATTTTCTCAGTAGCACAAGTCGGTTTTAAGTCAGACATGATTAAAAAATCAGTAGTAAAAGTTTATACTTCTTACGTTTTTTTTTCTCTATGGTACAATTAAATATTAATTTTGACTTTCTAACTACCAATAAAATAAAAAAAAAAAAAAAAAATAATTTTTCTATGATGAAAAAAGTAAAATCGTCTAAAAAATTTGACAAACAAATACTCTAATTTAGAAAATCCTACTACATATATTTCATATATATGTTTATATTTATATATGAATTTTGAATACTGCATGTATAAATAAATACAGAAAATTTTGTAAATTCAAGTGAAATGATATACATATGAAAATGCAAAGTTGATGAATATTTGATTTGAGCGGTGGTTTTTGAACGATTGAAAAGTTCATTCATCAGTTTATGTATATGTAGATGTGTGTATATATATATATAGAGAGAGAGAAAGAGAGTCGAATGATGTGATTCTGCGGTTTAGAAATTAGTGAATAAATAATTTTTTTTCCCCATGCTTCTTTATGGTCTAAT